TTCTAGAGCATTTTGAAACTTTTCTGGAATGTTTCTCCATGTCATAAAGAGAGCGATCCGGTCAAACACACTTGGCTGACATATTTACTACCCAAAACATTTAAATGTCTAGGTATATCTGATCAGCAACATTTGATTAAAAATAATAATAACACCAATATACTGGCTGAAACTCAGGAGAAAGTTGCAACTAGAGTAGGTCTATTGAATCAGCGGTGATTGAGTGAGTCAACACCACTGTAACTGCCACAGATTCAATGGGTCTACTCTCATCATGAATTTCTGTCACTAGTGGATTTCCTTTTTTAAAAATATTGGACATTATTATTTCTCTTTCAATTTAACTAGAGCTGAATATATCTGATGCAAATGTATTTTCGAAATCCCAAACCCTATGAGGAAAGACTGAAAGAACCTGACATGTTTACTCTTGAGTAAAGAAGAGGAGAGCCCTTTTCAAAGACATGAAAGGTGGTCCATGTTTACTCTTGAGTAAAGAAGACTGAGGGGAGCCCTTTTCAAAGACATGAAAGGTGGTCCCACAGAGGAGGGGCAGGATCTGTTCTTAATCATCCCTACAAGCTTCAGGAAGCCAGATATCGGTTGAATATCAGGAAAAACTTCTACGACAATGGAACTCATGTCCACAGGAGGTGGTGGGCGCTCCAACGTTGGAGGCCTTCATGAGAAAATTGGACAACCCTCTGTCAGATCTGCTTTGATCTAGATTCCTGCCTTGAGCAGAGGGGGGTTGGACTTGATGGCCTTGTAGGCCCCTTCCAACTCTTTTATTGTAGGATTCTGTGACTTTAAGATAAGAACCAGACCCCTGCCTGGCTTTATTGTTGAAACAAAACCACTTACAGCTTTAATTCAGGTTTTGGTTTGAACTGCATCTTCAAAAGGTGAATTCACAACTGGATTATGAAGTGCTTTTCTGATTTTATTTTACCATAAAGTCTGCAGATTAAGTAAAAGGGGCCATGTGCTCTCTCTCGCGCCCTTTCTAAGAATAACCACATGGAAAGCATCTGTTAACAATTTTAAACCTAAAAAGGAGAAACAAAACAAGAACAGATGCATTGCCTTTCAGACCAAGAGATTTATTTCTATGTGAACTTTCCGTAAGAGCATTACAACCTCTTGGGAGTTTTATTTGCAACCTCACATGCTTGCATTCTATGTGAACTTTCCGTAAGAGCGTTACAATCTGTTGAAGTTTTATTTGCAACCTCACACGCTGTCTGTGGTTTGTGTAACTGCGAGGGACTTTTCTTGAGTGTCTCTTTATCCAGCACTAACCAATCCTTCCTTCCAGCCTATGAATTCAAAGAGAGCCCCGCCCCTCTGCTGAGTGTTCTTTTCCCTCTCTTTCCTAAGCTAGAAGCAGTTGTTTGTCTGCTGTTGATCTGTTCAGTCAATCACTACATATGTGTGCACTAAAGAAAGCAGCATATTCAAGTCTTTAATTTCAAGCAATTATAAGCAAAGACTTTTAAAAGAATAATAATGAAAAAAATGGATTGGAATCAACAAAGGCTCACACGGAAATAGATCTGTGAGTCTTAAAGTCAACACAATACTTCTATTAGTGCCTGTGCTGAAACAGCCAAACGTGTATAGCCTTGTGTAAGCAACTCTGAAATGGGCAAACTTAATTGCATTGATAACCGGTTTATTATCAATCATGACTTTTATAAAACAAATTATTTTTCTTTTATCAAGGCTGATAGAGGGAGAGACAGCCTTCTCTTTTTGCCTTTAAATCGGACAGCCCTCCAACCTCTTTCTCAGTTCATGGCTCATGGCCGGTTCTGCTATTACGGCTTAGAAATTTGATTGAAAAGGGAAAGACAAAACCGGTGAGTCCGTAAACAGTTTGTCCCATTCCTTTAGACATCAGCAAGAAGCTAATCATCACCACAATCAACTTGTAACGCGTTATTTCCAAGCGTTGCCCCGACCACTCTTAGATACGTTCCGTTTGAAGCAACTGACCTGCGATACCTAATAGCAGAGCCGGACGTGAGACTCTTCCTTGCAGGGTTATTTAACTTGTGTCCCGAACAGCAGAAGAAACTGAGAGCAAAGCAACACACCAAGTATTTCCAGAGGTGCAAAAGTCACCTTTCTATATATTCAGAGTATCAGCTTTGCCAATCTTTCCGGGGCGCAGACGCACCAATGCTGAATTAAATCAGGCCCTGGCCTTTTAATTCTGCCGAAAAATGTCAAATGCCTAGAGAGGAATGTGCTGAGCCGCAGGGCTCGAAGTCCCCCCCCCCCAAGCGTTTCCATTGTTCAAAGAACAGCCACGTATCTTCCCGGGGAGGGCAGAGAACAGCCAATGCCACCAAAAGTGTACCAGACAGATTCTCACCATCCGACATTCCTGTCTGATCAGGCAAGCTGAGCGTACCTTTCGCTCTTACGTCTCATTTGTGATTTTCTGGACAGACCGTAGTTCTGTTTGTACTGTGTCGTTATAGCAGTTTGACCTGTGGAATCATGTCAGTTGTTCGGGATGCAATTTTTGGATGTCATGGGCTACAAATCTCATTATTACTCATCCAGGGAAAGCAACCTGATTTATATCCGTCTTACGGACACCCAAAGGGGGCTCATCTGGAAGACAAGGCCTGAACGGGAAGGCTTTGAGGCCTAGCTAGGCCTAGCTTCCTGTTAGGTAGCTGGGAGCTGGCTTTTGAACAGGAAGCTAGGCCTAGCTAAGGCTCAAAGCGTTTCAGTTTAGTTTTTTTTCCTCCCAGGTGAGCCACATGTAGGTGTTTGTAATGAAATCTGAAAATCCCAGCCCTACTGATTGTAGTTTGGTGAGATGCTTGAAGGCTGGATAGCTCAGTGGTTTAGGTATCTGGCTGCAGAGCCAGAGACTGAAAGTTTGATTCCCTACTGTGCCTTTTTGTGAGAAGAACCAGCCTGGGTGGCCTTGGGCAAGCTGCACAGTCGCAGAGAAAAGGAATGGTAAACCATTTCTAAGTATTCTCTACCTGGTTCAACTTGTCATCACCTCAACAGCACTGCAAGCCCATGTTTTAACTACTGTACATGATATTTCTTCTCAGTTATTTAATGAGGCCATGCCCTGTAACTCCAGCTCTAAAACTAACTAAACATAATCATGTCCCTTGCACATTTTAACTACATAATATTTCTTCTCAATTATTTAATGAGGCCATGCCCTGTAACTTCAGCTCTAAAACTAACTAAACATAATCATGCTGCAAAAGGAGTGAGACTATGCCTTCTTAGTTTACAATAGTAATTAAATGTGGTTGGTGGGAGGAATTAATTGCAAGTAACTGATTGTTGGTAACTAGTTACTTCCAAACTCTAGGCGAAACTAATTTAAATCTTTAGTACAGTTTGGAGATGTTCCTTTCATGGAACACAGCTCCCAGATCCCTCTAGCCAACAGCCATGCCTGATGAAGGCTTCTGGGACTTGTAATTCCAAAAAAGGAACTTTCCCAAACTACTGATTTTCAGATTGAGGATGAAATCGATGGATGGTTTCAAGGGAACAGTAAGGATGCTGTGGGTTTTAACATTACCTGCATGTGAACTGTCCAAGGTGCTGAAGGTTCAGCACCCTGGAGAGTTCCTTTGGCTCTGTTCAGAGTAAATCCTGTAGTGGATTATTTGCCCCCATGAAACTGGGTCACCAGCCTCCATGACAGCCACACACACCCAACATTCTCCATACAACAGCTTGTCCACACACATCCCCTTTTTTGTAGAGAAGCATTTGTACTGATTTATCTTGCAGCTCCTTAAAGATGAACAAATTGATGATGGCAGAAAGTCTCAGAGGTGTCCCCTGAACTGAACACTTAACAAATTCAGGATGGCAGCAGCTCTCCTGGATCAGAATCCACTTCGTCAGACACCCGCAAGAGTTTATGCCCCTAGTAAGCCTCTTAGACTTTAAAGGTGTTCCAAGATTTTCATTATCTTTCAACTCTTATTGTTCTAGGGGGACTCCAAGGAACATTGTTTTCAAAACACATCATGCAAATAATGTTGCAACGACTATGTTTAAAATAATAACATTTTCTTTTATGTGTGTTGAGGGTTGCAACAGAACACAAGTACATATAGAAAACAGAAAACGGAAGGGGGGGTAAATAAGCAGAGAGGCCTGGGTATGTTTTCTCCCTCTTTCCTTTTCTAGATTTTCATGCTGATTGGTAATCACAGGACTCCTTCTTTCTCTCTCAGTAATAAATTTGTGTTCATTTTTGCTCTTCCATTTTCACTCTACGAACATGGAAGACAGGTCCTTGGGCTTCTGCACTGCTTTAAAATAAACATTCCTCCTGTATTCTCCTTAAATAGATTTCCTAATTCCTATTTGCTGATTATTTGTACCAGGTAAGATAGATTTCCTAATTTCTACAGTATTTGCTGATTATTTGTACCAGGTAAGAGCATTACAGGGAGTGCTATTCTTCCCCCCCTCCCCCCAAAAAAGAAATCTGGCTCTATGCAATTTGTGCAAACTACTTGCACAAAATTAGGGTCTTTTCCCTTCGAAAGCAAAACATACACACATAACCAGCATGCCATGTCTGGCTAACTCTGAAAAAAAGACACAGCCATCTTCCGATCTTCTAATCCTTAAAAATCTATACCACAAGCACCACTCATCACCATGGCACACAATTCGCACACCCTGCATTTGCTCATTTTTGCACAAATTTGTGTGATTTGCACAAAAAGGGTTCTCCAGCTTTCCGCTTGCTAAGATCATTATTGGGCAAAATCATTATTGCTTGTTTCCTCTCCTTTTCGTTGAAGGACATGACATGCTCGATCGTGCACTGTCTGTGCTTACCACGTCCCCAAAATGCATGCAAAACTATGGGCGAACCATCAGAAAGCCACTGTTTTCCCTGACTGGGATATGAATCTGGGTATCCCCCAAAGACTGAGGCACTTATTGTTCATGGATAAAAGCCATCAAGGAGGAGGAAGACTTACGAGCACACGGTCTCCGAGCCGGAAGTCCTTGTCTCCTTTCTTCACCGACCCACTGTCCGAGAGGTTGGATCCCGATTCGTTCCCCGTCTTCATAGTGTTGTTGAGGACGCTCTCCCGCAGAGGGATGACCCGGGTCGAGAGAGGCGGGGTGGAGGTGCCGGAGTGCAGCGACAGATTCTGCGCCGTCAGGGACTCCACGGAATGGGCGTCGCTGCCGGAACCCTCCGCCGCCGTCGGCTGGCGGGTCAGCTTGGAAGGCCGCGTGAAAATCCCTTGGAGGGGCTGGCACTCGAAGTAGCGGACGCCACCCACGGAGCCGTCGTTCTTCCCCACGGGGTCGTCCAGGACCACCCCGGCCCACTGTCCGGGAGCAAACTGGGTCTCCCCCAAATACTGGATCACGCCAGGCTTCACCCCGTTGACCCACACCCGTTCACCCACCACGAAGTCCCCCAGGAAGTCATCGCCCACCTCGGCGACCTTTGACCCCGGCGGCTTTTCAGTGGTGGCTGGAGCAGTGGTGGAACTCTGTTTGTGCAGAGGCGACCCTATTTTAAAAAAAAAAACCAACAAGGTTGCATCAGACATAAAGGCTTTGGAAAAAGTTCCTTTTCTCGCTGATCATCCCCCAAGAAGTAGACATTCCAAAAAAAACCACTTTTCTGAACAATCTCCCCACCCCCAACATGAGGTGGCTTGGTGGCAGAATTGGCCATTGCTGTTGTTTTTTTAAAAAAAACACAAGGTATTAGCACATCACAGCAATGAGGAACAACAAAAGAAGAGGTGGAGACGCAGGCGGGGAGAGCATCATCATCATGGAAGTCCAGCTGCTTGCAATGAAGGCTTAAATATCACGTGCTGAGATGCTTTAAGGGACCTACCGTCCCATTTGTGTGTCCCGGCTTCATGCCTCTTTCTTCCCCCCCTGAAATCTGCATTTCCAAGATCAAACAAGGTGAACAGAGGGGGTACCTTCAAGCCTCTCCTCTTTCACCCTGCGCTCTAACAAGGCCTATGGATTCCCACCATGATGTAAACAAGGAGTTGCCTTCTCCGGAACAAGGCATGCCCCCACTGCCAAGGGTGACTGCTTTGATCAGGCACCGTGCATTTATAATAGCAACACAAAAACAAACCAAAAAAAGCCTGACACACAAAGTTCTGCAGCAAATCCATGTCGGTGGGAAGTGAGATGCTGGATTTACTTCAGCAGGAACGCTAAGGTTGCGAGCGGATACAGGCGATACCACTCTTTAAGAATTTGTTTAAAATGATTAAATTTGGTGTGGGAGGTTGAGGAGCCCAGGGGGACCCTGAAAACATGTCAAAACGGCCACCCAGGTACACGAGGACTTTTTCAGCCATTTTTTTTCCAAAGGAAAAATCTTAATATTTCTGTTGGGTCGAGGGAGCTGTAATTTGGCCCCCTCAAGGCCGGTCTGCAGCCTTGGGGCCCTGTGTTGTCCACCATTGCTCTACAGGCATGGACTTCTGAGCTGTAGGTATATAAAAGGCTGCAAATACGTAGGGTCATCATCAGCTCGCTGTTGGAAACGCATCTGATAGGAAATCTCAGGAACACTTTCTAGAGGCCGTAAGACACTGAGGTCATATTTGTGAGAAATCACTCCTGGTGACACTTCCAAGGAACCAAACAGGTCTGAGAAAAGTGGGAGGAATTAAAGAAGAAAGTGTCGTGAAATCTTTGGGCCAGACATCTCTCCCAACCTAAACCTACCTCACAGGGTTGTACTGAGGATCTATCTATCTATCTATCTATCTATCTATCTATCTATCTATCTATCTATCTATCTATCTAAATCTGTCCCTGCTGCTTTTTATAGTGTTTCAGACAAAAAAGTAATTCATTGCTATTATTTTAAAAAATATACTGCATTTTATTTTGCAGTATGTCCCTACTCCTTGTTACTCTCTTAGAAAGAGACCCTTTATATCAGATGAAAAGTTGTTACACAACTTGGAAAAGTCCGGCCACGCTCCTGCCGAAAATTATTTTTACAAGTAACTTGAACAGGTTACTCGTGATTATGGGGAAGGAACTTCATTACAACCCACGGCATTACTGTCAGATTGCAGCTTCGTTATGCCCTCCGAACCGGAAAGGGGAGAGAGGAAGGCAAAGCGTTGGTGCCTCATTTCCAAGCCGTGACGTGTAAATAAATAGATGGAAGACGGAAATTGAGTTCCTGTATTGTTTCCGGGGTGGGATTTTTGTACATCCGAAGGACGGGCTCTTTTTCAAATCCTTCTCTCCTCACCCGCTTTGAAAGCTGTGCCTGACACTCGGTACAAGGGAAAATCTTGATCCCTAGGGCGTGAATTGAATCATATACAATTGGCTCTTTTATCGTTTCAACGGGTGATGTGTCTTTACAGTTTTCTTGGTGGGATTTTTTTTCGAAACAGAAGCCAGCTTTTTCATTGGCTGCTGAAGCCAGCCGCGGATGGAGGCCTGCCAGCTGCTGAGTCTACTCTTCTCTCTTTCCCATCGCCGGAAAACTGTAATTTTACAACTTTTATTTTTAAAGACACCCCTCTCCCTTTGTGGAAGGCTAATCGACATGACTGCCTCTTCTAGAAACCATGCAAAATTCGAGTGTTCCATCTGTCTTTCCCTCCTTACACTAAGAGGGCACAAAGTGGCCATTTCCAGTAAACAAACAAACAAACAAAAAACAGGTTTGAAAGTAAAATTTTCGGATGTGGGGTTCATATTTATAAATAGGAGAACAAAAACAATCAAGGGAAGATTTTTACAACAACAACAACAACAACCACCATAATCATAATCATAATCATAATCATAATCATAATAATAATAATCATCATCATCATCATCATCATCATCATAAAGCACTTTGTGACATACCCTGATGGCAATTTTTAGAGTATACATTTTAATTGTAAAATTAAATTTATTAAAGTAAAATTGTACTTTAAAATTAAAGTAAAATTTTATTTAAAATAAAACACAACACAACATTTGAATTGTATTTTAATTGTTTTACTTTTTTTACTGTATTTTCATTGTTGTAAGCCGCCCAGAGACCTTTGGGTAGTGTGGGCGGCATAAAAGTTAAATATATGAATGAATTAATGAATTGTTCGTCATTGACAAGCCTTGCCTTCAGCCACTGGATGAACGGCTGTGATATCACAGAATTACACCCCACAAAGACAATGAAACACCAAAGTTACAGTAAGCCTCAGACCGCAAGATGGGGATCGGACGCAAGAAGGGGACAGCTCTGACAGAACGTGGTTTATTGAATATAATACATTAGAGAGATACCCTATAGAGACCAGGTTGAAGGGCCCTTCAAGGACATACAAGGGTAATTTCTGCGGCAGGCTACAGAGAGACTCCCACAATCCCACAGGGGTTCTGGCCCACGGCAAACGAGCGCTCACCTTCCTTCGTTGCAGTGCTGGTCGGAGCCGCCGTGGTCGCTGTTGCGCCAGGGCGCCCCATGGGGCTGGAGTGTTTCCCAGCCCTCCCGGGGATTTTAAGTCCACTCGGCTTCAGCATGTCGGCCCCGGTCAGTGTGGCTCACGCGGTGGGCTGCCTTTCGTCCTCCGAACGGTGACTTAGGGTGACCGTGTCGAGCACCAACGCGATGGAGCCCTTCATGGATGTTCACAAAGCTTAGAGGAAAAAAGAGGGAGAAAAAGAGAAGCACAACATCAATTTTAATGAAATCAGTGCCAGAGAATGAAGTTCACTACGACCCTATATCCGTGGGACCAGTATCCGTTGTTTCACCTATGTGCGGACTGGAAATATTTTTTAAAAAACTAGAAATATGTGTTTTCACAACGTATTTATCAGAACTGGCCACTCCAGGGAGCCAGAGACTACATTATGTATTTGTGTTGAAGAATACACATGAAAATACTTTTTTTTCTGGACTTCTTTCTTTTACCATGCTATGTACAGCGTTCACTCTTATCCATGTTTTTCAGCATCCACAGGGAGGATTGGAACCACGGATACGGGACGGTCCTACTGTAAGTGTTTAACAAGCTCTTATTTGAGAAAGAAGAGATCAGAGCTTGGAAGTCACACACGACAGTGTAACCTCTGGAGTCAAATTGCCCTGGGTTGAGAAATCTCCGTAGACATTATCAGTTGCATATGGAGCTGCATGAGTCGGCATGCTACGGATAATGTATACAGTGATTCCTTAACTTGGGGCAATTTGCCTCCACAAAGGTTACACCATTTGCGTAAGTATGTAAGAGGATTTGGGCATGTTTGAGATGAAAACAGTTCAGCTTCATTGAGTGCATTTTCTTAACAGGGAACCAATCGGATTGCCTTCTATCCTCCCAAATCCAGTGCCTTCTAAACCACTGAATTTGGGAGGATTTCCCCAAACCTCCTACCCCCTGAACCCCCAAATTAGAAATTAGAAGTGCTTGTCTGAGTTTTGTTTATTTATTTTCTTTTGAAATGGGTTCCCCCTGATCGCTTTGTGGGTAAAGAGGCATCTTTACACTGATCACCATAATCACCCATCTCCTGAAAAGGACAAAAGCTGATCTCACAACCATAAATACTCAACTCCCAAACAAACTGCACCAGAGCACAGAGTGCTACTCCAGTCCTCTGAAGATGCCGGCCACAGAGACTGGCAAAACATTAGGAAGAACAAATTACAGAACACGGCCAAAGAGCCCGAAAAACCCACAACAACCAAAAGAGGTATCTCTTTTTTCAAGGTAAACGTGTCCTTTAGTAAATCTTATAGGAAAAAGACAGCTAGGTTTGGCTTGGAGAAAGGCATTCTTTTTACGGTGAAGACTCTGAATGGCCGTAAAGGCACAAAAACGCCCGGGGATTCTTTTTTTAAACTTTTGATAAACTTGTAAGAGACAAAAAGAGAAAGAGGTGTCTCTTTTTTTCAAGATAAACATGTACTTCAGTAAATCTTGTAGAAAAAAGACAGCTTGGTTCGGTTTGGGGAAAGCCGTTCTTTTACTGTGAAGACTCTGGATAGCCTTAAAGGCACAAAAATGCCCGGGGATTCTTTTTTAAAACATTTGATAAACTTGTAAGAGACAAAAAGAGAAGGCAGGAAGACAGAAGTGTTGCTAAAATCTCATTCATGCCTTGACTCGTCCTTCATTCCTCAGCCATGTGTGCCAGAAATTAACAGCTCGAGTGGAGAAAAGGCACCCTCCATCCATGTGCACATAATGTGCCTGTTTTACGACCGGATCCGGCCTGGGCTACCTCCCTGCTCCCAGCCGCTACTGGCTGGGAATCCTGCCAGCCGGCCTCCTTCAGCGCCAGCTCAGCCTGCCTTGAAACAGTTGACTCACGCCTTAATTATTTCCTGTCTCAGCCGATCTACGGCTATCCCAGCGAACGGGTCTGTGTCTCACTCGGTGAACTCCGGCCTTAGTCACGAGCCCCCGGGTGTGGGAGAGACCCTTTCAGGCACATTTTCCCACCAACTTGCAGTTCCACAAGGTGTACGGTCTCCTCATCCCCTTGGTTGATTTTCCCGAGGGACCTCAAGGCAGCATCTAGAACAGAGATGAGGCTCAAGGAGGGGCCACCTATCAAGGTGACCCTGAACCCTGAGATCCCAATTTTTTCCACCTCAAAAAACAAAACAAAAAGGAGAACAGCTGTTCCTGAAATCTTGCATTAACTCAAGTCAAGTCACCAGTGTGCCAGCCAGTCCCGCGACTCAAATCCCCTGTGACAGGTTTCTTCAAACAATAACATTTCCCATTAGTCTCTCATCCAAGTACTGACCAGCCACGGACCTGCGAAAGGGGTTTGGGTTGTTTGCTTTTAAACCTTTCTCAGGGGTCTTTCGGGTCCAAATCCCACACAATTTGCAACCCGTCAAAGCGACGGGAAGCTATGAGTTTCCGGCTCTCGCTTTCTCAGGGGTCTTTCGGGTCCAAATCCCATACAATTTGCAACCCGTTAGAAATTCTTCAAAGCGACGGGAAGCTATGAGTTTCCGGCTCTCGACTCTTCCCCCAAAACCCCCATTCCGCCAAATGAGTATTCAAGGTTCTAATATCACTCGACGCAAACTTTTTTTGCCCACTCACACGGGCTGAAATTCGGAAAGGCGCAACTGTTTTCTAGTGTGGGAAGACTTCCTGTGTCAGGGCCTCTTATAAAACAAAGATGTGGGGAAACTAATTTGACGCTAACACAACTGAAATCTGGACTTTAAAGTGTTAAAACGTTCATCATAACTCTGCCCATGGATGGACAGTTGTGGTTTCTCCTACATTCAGGATTTTTAGCCCTCTGTTTGCAGAGGAATCGATCCATCTTGGTGCATGCTTATACAAAAGATGCTTATAAAAAAAGAAATGGAAACAGGTTTTCCTAATGGTATTCTGATGCTGGAGATAGCGTTGTCATTAGTAACCACTAAGATCGTCATCTTTCCCCACCGCTATTTGGCTAACCCTAAAAGGGCCACTTACCCATCATCAAATCAATGAATCAATGAACGAACCAACGAACGAACGAACGAAGGAACGAAGGAACGAACCAACCAACCAACCAGCCAACCAGCCAACCAGCCAACCAACCAGCCAGCCAGCCAGCCAGCCAGCCAGCCAGCCAGCCAGCCAGCCAGCCAACAAACCAACCAACCAACCAACCGCAAGAGAAGACACAGATTTGGATCTGTCTACCTGTACTGATCAACAGGGACAGGAGATTTTTGTTTCTTGGACTACATATCCCAAGCCATCTAAACCAGTGGCTGAGAGTTCTGTAAGTCACAGGGCTGGGAAAACTTTCTTTCTTTTGGACTACAATTCCCAGAATCCACCGGCCAGCACAGGTCGTGGCGATGCCATGCGATGGATAATTGCCATCCAAACAAAATGCTTTCAATGGCTCCAAACCTTTTTTGGGGGGGGGTTCCTCAGCTCACTTCACCATCACTCACCCTGCGGGGGAAATCCTGGGCTTGCTAGACGTTTCGGCTGACCATTCCCATCCTCCCCAGCCAGGACGCTACGGGATTACGGGAGCTGTCATTCAGAATGTCTTCGTTCCCCACGCTTGCCATTCCATGAAGCTTGTGTCGGGGCAAACGCTAGCTAGATGCCAAACCAGCCTCAGTCGGTGGCACTTCTCGTGATCCTACCCAGACAATGTGCCTTATAAATATGGAACAAAGACGGTTGTGTCTTTAAGCGAAAGAAAGAGAGAGCGAGAGAGACAGAGCAGACAGTATAATAATTAAGTAGGAACAAATGCGTGAACATAGCTGGCTTCCATAATAATTTGCTAGCAAAAGATAGCTGAACTTTTGTTTTAAAAAAAGCAGAAGCCGGAGAGCCCAAACCGAATGCCTCACCAGCTTTTTCCGAAACCCCATACAAACTGGAACTCGGCCCCTTCTCCTGCTTTACGATTCTGTGCTTCCCAGCACGCAACTAGCTGCACACAAAACCCACAACTGACTGCAGGGGTGGGATGCCTCCGAGAGGAACCGATTCACCCCCTGATTTATTAAAAAAAAAATTAAACAGGAAGTGGGAAAGCAACCAATAACATTTTAAAAAGAAGGAAAAAAATGTCAAAAGTTGCTGCCCACAAACTCAGGGCCATAAAACTTCTTTTTTTTTTTAAACAGACATGCCTGGAGATGCAGAACAGCTTTTTAAACAAACCCAGCGGGAAAAGGTAGCTCTGGGCAAGAATGACAAACTGCACTAGAAGAGAGAAGTTTTGGGTTGCAGTGGCGTTGTTTTAAAGGGAGCGCACAATCCAGCAATACTGTTTTCCAAATACTAGTTTTGCTGATCATTACACCAATATTTGCTTCAAGGCGAAGGTGAGCCTTAAGAAGACACAGAACCCACAACGATGTGTCTAACACTGGATTATAAACAAAATATATATTTTTAAAATAAGGGTATTTTATAAAGAGAAGACCCCCTTTCCTTTCCTCCACTGATCCTCTTCTAGTAAGGAATATAAGCAGCCTGAGGCTGAAACCATCCCCCTTTAAAGTTTGCAAAAAGCCATTCATGGAATAAACTTAGTAACCAACAATATTTTTAAGGACCTTTTTACCTTGTGTTTTTAACATTGTTCTTATTAGGAGTTTGAATGTGATCGTTGTTTAATGCTTTAAAAACATATATATATATATTGTAATAATTCTCTGGCTTTTAACTTTGTTTCATCGAAATGCCATAAGCTGCCTTAGATCCTTTCGGGAGAAATGAATGAATGAATAAATAAGTAAATAAAGGAAGGAAGGAAGGAAGGAAGGAAGGAAGGAAGGAAGGAAGGAAGGAATCTCGGTACTCCCAGAAGGGACCCTCTGGCTGATGGAGTCCATTCCGTGTCAAGGAGGCACCATGAAGAATTAAACTCCTAACCTCTAAAAACCACTGAGCTATCCAGCAGGTCAGTAAGTAAGTAAATAAATATATTCCAAACCTAATTCCATAGTGGCAAAGCAGAAGATTTATTTGCCTCCTTAGGTCCCTTGTAAGGAGAAAGGCGGGGTTAAAAACATTTTAAATGAATGATCGAACGAATGAATTGAATGAATGAATGAATGAATGAATGGCATGCACAATTCCTTCTATGAGGAAAAAGAGGTATGCAAACCTTTTGCCTTACAACCACAACCCTGTGGGGTAGGTCACACTGAAAGAGAGACAGAGAAATGGGCCTCACCTTTACCTGGCCAATGAGCTTCATAATTCGTTAGGGACTTAAACCAGGCTCTCCAAATCCCAGTCTGACCACGATAACCACACTGATTCCATCTCATTCTGGTTGTGTGATAAACCGACAGAGGCCCTTCCTCCCTCCTCCACAGCACTCCTCACAGTCAGAATCTAACCACTACAGCACACTTCCCAAAGCGATGCCACAGAACGGGCCCACGGGATCTGGAATGTTGGATGTCCTTGACAGGGGACATTATATTAAACCAATGCTGCGCCAAGCGTGAGCCATGGAGCATGGGTAGCACCCTGCATGCACTCCTCAGCCTACACGGTTTCTGCATGCAAGTTGCAGATCATGAATCATCCTTACCCTTTTAACCCCATATCTTAGAATCGTAGAATCATTGAGTTGGAAGGGGTCTATAAGGCCATGGAGTCCAACCCCCTGCTCAACGCAAGAATCTAATTCAAAGCAGATCGGACAGAAGTTGGTCCAATGTTCTCTTGAAGGCCTCCAGCGTTGGAGCGCTCACCCCTTCCTGAGGTAACATGTGCCCTCCCACACTGTTGTTATCAGTCAAAGTCCTACCTACTTTCCCCATTCCTCTTTAATCTACAAATTAAATCTTAACCAGAGGAACTGGCTTTATCTCTCGACAACCAGAAGTTTTCCGAAAGGATGCTGGCTCCTTCGCTTTGATCACATCTCTACAATCACCAGAAATCTCACTTGGATTTTTTTTTTCCTCCGTCAAAAGTCCCATTCCTGTTCTAAATTATCAGACAGATTTCCCTTCCCTGTCTGTTCAATTCTTATGCAGAGCATAGTGTATGAAAAGCTGGATTCAGTTCAAAGGACTGAGGAGTGAAAAATGGTGGACTTCAAGATCAATGATTTGACCTATGCAAGTCAGGCCATCTTACTGGCAGGAAATAGCGATGACTCAAAACGACGCCTGAGGAAGGTTCAAGAAGCAAGTGCAAAAATAAAGGACTAAGATTAAAAAAAATCAGAAGAGTAGAATTACAGAACTAGGGTGTTGGAAAATTAAGAAGGTGAAAATGTTAAACCTTTTCTAAACTGACTCCGTCATTGACCCAAAATGGTGATCGTCATCATGAAAGCTGAGTGGTTTAGTTATCTGGTTTCGTTCTTTAGAAATCAGAAAGAAAGAAATCAAAAATAAAAACAGGGGAAAAATCTGCTGAAGTGGATATATCAAGAAAAATGCACACTGACGTAAGAGTAAACCTTCAAGGTGCTACTAATTTTTTTGGCTTTTATTTTACCAGTATATGCAAATGATCCCTAATTAATTTTACACCTAACAGGACATCTTAATGTGAGCTTTTGTGGACAAGTCCACTTCCTCAGATTTTAGGAATATAGCCTGAGGAAGTAGATTTTTCCACAAAAGCTCACGTTAAAACAGGGTTGTTCGTCTATAACAACATTTTTGTCTTTTTTATAGCTTCCAGTTTACTACATACAGGTGTGAAAGCTGGACAGTGAAGAGAGCTGAAAGGGGAGGACCTCCAGAAAAATAAATTAGTAGGTTCTGGATCAAAACATGCCTGAATTCCGTTCAGAAGACTATTGGGCTGTAGATATTTCATGGAAAGAGTCACTAAAAGAGACTATAATGTTAGGAAAAGTGAAAGGCAGTAGGAAAACAGGATATATATATAGCGTTAGCAAGTGCAAGAAAGGGAGAGCAAAATTAAGTTTGCTGTGTGTTCTTATTCCTTATCTCCTAAGAAACACCGCCAGGATGAGCTGCAGTGCGACATCAGAAGCCAATCAACTGCTGAGGGGAAAAAATCCAGAAGATATTCTTTAAAAATAAAATAAAAGATCTGACCCCATCATGGAGCAGATTGGAACATCCTTAGAAGGTAGAAGATAGATTGGGCCTGATCTGTAAGCCCTTTACTCAGGCGCAGACTGGATTGGGGCCTTCTGTACATGCCTAGTAATGATGCTGGATTACCACGTTTAGGGGCTGTCACAGAGCACTATTCATTCCCCATAATAAAATGGGGATAACAGCAGTGGGCTACTCTGCAGGGCCGGCGTGAAGCACAATCTCTCAAGGGGTGATTACAATGACAAATAATATGGCGAAACTGTCAAATTGAAATTATTTTCTGTATGACTTACACGGCGTATAAGTCAATGCGAATCAGTTCAGAGTTTTCCCTCTATAATAATAATAATAAATAATATGGCGAAACTGTCAAATTAAAATTATTTTCTGTATGACTACACGGCGTATAAGCCAATGCGAATCAGTTCAGAGTTTTCCCTCTCAATCTGCACTTTTTCCCACCCACACCGTAATTTCTATCTTTTTTTGCAGCTTGTTAAGCCAGCTTCTGCTGTAGCTGTGTCTCCTGCAAATCGGGACAGCTACAGCAGATGTTGCATTAACAAGCTGCAAACAAGGGCTGATCAGCCATTTCCTCCTCTCTCTCTCTCTCTCTCTCTCTCTGCTCACTCCTGACTAGACGGCCAAACCAGATTCACCCGAGGTGAAGTCCCTGGGGGGACTTCACAAAGGATCAATGAGCATTTCCCCACAATGTACACACACCCTCAGCCACAGTATTGCCTGCTGCAATATGGATATAATGAGGATCGATTTTGATCAGCATGCACCAGTGGAGGACTTATTCAAAACTAGTCTTCATTTCTGCTCTTCACGCAACAATCTGTTGCATGGGAGTGGATTGTACATGCTCAGCGCATGAGCAAGAGAGTACTCACAAGATCCTTGTACATGCAGAAGCCTTATCACGTTAAATGGAACAACCTCTGGTTCATACAACCACCGGGTGGCCATCCCAAAGTGCCACACTCAGGGGGAGCCACACACTGTCTTTACACACACCATTCCGGGCAACAGGTTGACAATCTCAGAGGTGGGTGGGCAACATTTTAAATAAATCCTGAGTACAAATGATCACAAACTTCTGCCTAGCAGCAGCTGGTGACCTCCCCCCCCCAAAAAATCTTTTCTTAAAGGAGTAGCCATCATTTCCTACCTAGAATGACCCAACCAACATCTTTAATACGGAACAAACATTTCTTTCTTCTGAAAAAGCGTGTCAATTTGTTGAGGCTTAAACTGTTTGCTAAAAACCCTTAAGAACTTCATCGACCTGGGGTAGCTGCTTAAAACAAACAAATAGGCAGAATAGCAATGACACATTTTGCCTCTGGCTTCTTAACAAATAAATACTAATACTAATACTAATACT